GGTGTTGCTCCCACACCTCGCTCAGCCAGTGAGCGGGAACCGGTCTGTATGTGGGATCCGAACCCTTGGCGGGAGCGCCGCCGCGCTTCCCAAGCGGCGCACTGTAGCAGTGTGCCACCGGGCCGGCCCTAGACATCTCTTAAAAGAAGGGAAAATCTTTCTCTGGAACTCTGCAATGTATTTCTTCTTATTTCTCATTGGTTAAAATTACATCACATGCTCTTTTTTTTAAATTAAAAAAGATTTTAATTTGAATATTCATTGTTACAAATCATACTTATTCTTTATGCCCTTTATCCAATATCTCCCCTTCCCTCTCCTCCTCCCCTTTCTAATAACCACAGATTTGTTCTCTTCTTCTGATAGATTAACTGTTTCTCTGTTGATTTGTTGCTTAGATGATCCGCCCAGTACTGAGAGAGGTGTGTTCAGGTACCCCACTCTTATTGTATAGCAGACGCTTCTTCTATTACCCTGGAGTGTGCTTTGTGGAGAGAGAGGACGTCTTTTGTGTGTGTGTGTATGTGTGTGTGGTCTTTGCTGGTGACTCTCCTCGTGTCAGTGCAGTTGACTGTCTGGCGTGCCGTCTGCACAGTGGCTGTTGTGACTACCACTATCGCGACTAGCCGCTTTTGTGGCAGCCATGGCAATTGTGGTGGCTGTGGTGGGCTACCTGCATGGAAATGGTGTTTTTGGTGTGCTCTTTATCTGGTTGTGGCTGGGCTCGGCTTCCTCCCAGTTTAAATTTCTAATACAGTAAACATCAATAGCTATAACCCATATAAGCAAATAATTTTTAAAAGTGTAAAGAGCTTTTGAGACCAAAAAGTCTGAAGACTGATGCTCTAGGGTCTTACGCCTAAGTGTGGAAAGGATGGTTGTAAGGGTGCACAGCTTTGACTCTACCTTATATTTGCTCTGCAAAGGTATAGCACCAGTTTGCAGCTCATTAGTAGTTTGAAAGCTGATTCTTCACATTCAAGCTTATATCTGATAGGGAGATTTTAACGAGTTTGCCAATAGGATGGATGATAGACGGAATCTCATTGAAGACTGACTTTGCTTTTCTTTATTACTAGTGATGTTGAACATCTTTTTTTTTTCATTCATACTGGGAATACTACTCGGCAATAAAAATGAATGACCTATTAATTCTCTCAACAGCAAGAATAATCTTATATTTACATGAAGTTCAAAGAGAGGCAAAACTAAACTACGGTGGTAGAAATCCTAACAGTAGCTACCTATATGGAATAGTGGGAATTGACTATAAGGGGGCTCATGGAAACATGCCACAGTGTTGGGAATGTTTTACACCTTGATTGCAGTGTTCTTTAGATGGATGTATATACATTTGTCAAAACTCATTGAAATGTGCATTTTGTGGTATGCCAATTTTTCCTCAATTTAAAAAGATCAATTATAAACATGGATGCTCTTGAAGTTCTCTTTCCCACATTTTAATTGAGAAATGCCATTGCTTTCTGCTCTGATTATCTTGTGAAATCTTTCATTATTTTTGTTAGACACTAAAATCCGGGTTATGTTTTCCTAATTATGGAGCATAATGGGATTGCTTTTTTGCTAGGAAAAAAAGCCGAAGGCCAAAAAAAAAAAAAAAAAAAAAATGGCTGGCTGGTTAGCTCAGTTGATTAGAGCACACTCTTGTAATACCAAGGTCACAGGTTTGGATCCTGGAACTGGCACCTGGCAAAAGAAAAAAAAAAGCCAAAGACTAGTCAAGCTCTCCTATTTCTAAGTCTGTTTTATGTTTTTGACCAAAACTGTATTTTAGTTTATGGCTTTCACCTGGACAGGCACCCTGTCGATGCCCCAACCATCACTGCCAATGACGTGGGATGTCAGAAAGCTGACAGTGCCGATCCTCATCTTCCTCCTGTTCCCTAGAAGGAAAACATCAGGCTTATCTTGGCCAGATGCACATTTCTTTATTTCCAACAAGGCTTCTACCCTAAATCTCAGCTTTCTTCCCTACTTTGGTAGCTAGACTAAAAAAAGCCTAGAAAAATCGTGAAGGTGACTGTTAAGTTCTCAAAAGTATGTGCAGGAAACACGTGTTTCATCCCTGCAAATGGATATGAAGAGATATGGATATAAGGTATTGGATTTTTTGTAATTGTTGTCAAAATCCAGTATTTACCTTCACTACTGCATACCACTTGCCTGGTGCACCCACCTTCTTAAAGTGTCCAATCCTATGCCCCATTTACTGTTGGGATATGAAAATTGAAGGCATATGACCTGTCTACCCACAATTTAGAAATTGAAATAATATTTAGCAAAAATATGAAGGAGAAATAAGGAAAGTAATTTATAGTAAGTAAAATGTATGTCAGTAGGTATGTGCTTCAGTGTGTACACAAGACATGTGATTAGATTCTCCAACCTATGTGTAGACTCACTGAAAATATGAAAGGTGCAAATGTAGTTTCATCAGACATGCTATACTGGTGATCCACATACCACAAATGACATGGTTTTTTGAAATGGTGAACATCTATTAGTAAAATTCCAAACCAAACAAAATAAAGGTAGGGGGAGAGGAGGAAAAGTGTTGGACTAATGGGTATAGAACTATGCTGTCTACCCTAAGTGAATTATTGTGTAGTATATGCATGTATGGAAACAACACGCTGTATTCTGTAAATGTTAAAATATTTTGAATAAAACAATGGAAAAAAGAAACAACATTTCTTTTGATTTATGTTGTAGTTGTGTTGTGAGAAATTTGATGTATATTAAAACTACATAAAATAATTGTGTGTTTATATAAAGCAGTGTTAAGATCTAGGCCCAAATGGTTATAAATGGACTTTTTGTCAATGCGAATGCCTGGTAAGATATTTGAAAGTCGTGTAGGACCAAAGTTGAGGTATGCGGGACAGTTCTTTGTTGCGTGGGACTATTCTGGAGTTTGCCTGCCGAATGCCAAGGGTGTCGTCTTAATTATTGTGGCAATTGAAATTGGCCCCACAAATTTAGAAGATACATTCTAGATGGCGATGCCTCTTGTGTGGAAAATCCTGCTGTAAACACTTAGAAAGACGCAGAAATCTAAGGACCCCAGGAAAACAAAGAGTTCCCAGCATTTTAAGCCAGAATCCCAGAGTCCTTTGGAGAGACTAGAGGGTGCAGTCAGGCAGAGAATGTTTGCCTTATTTTTGCCCTAAGGCTGAGATAGGTTTTTAACCTTCATCTTGCTTTTATCTGTCTGCAATCTCAGTTCTGCATTCCTGTGGTTGAATTTTTTGCACTTTGTCTCCGTTCACTGTCCTTGTAGCTTGCTGGGTAGACTCTCATTAGACTAGGTTTTGTAGCAGTTGTGAAAAGGGGGTTTGAAAATGTCCAAGAAGACTGATGGATGTGTGTGTGTGTTAAAATAAACATACAATTTACCAATAAAAACATTTTTATGTAAGTAATTTGTGACTGTGCAAATATATGGCTGAAGTATTTGGATATATAAATAATAAAATTTTATCTCAGTCAACTTGGGGGATATAATTTTGCTGTGAACTATACTATTTTAATAATTGGGTTTGTGAATTATTTCACAAAGTTAATCTTTAATAACAATGAAGATCAGTATGGAAGAAAATATTTACTTTTTATTGTACGATTTCCCGAATTAGTATTTTCACTTTCTGTTCTCTCTGGAGCAGTGCTTTGGTGCTAGATATTCCTCGGTTCAAATTCTTTAGCTCTGCCGCAGGGCGGCTGTGTGGATTTAAAACAAATTAATCAATTTCTCTGAGTCTTATTGTAAAATTTCTTCATTAGTAATATGCAGATGCTGGTATTTAATATTGTGGTTGTAATGATTAATGTAAAACGTGATACAGTTTTCTTCTAGTACTTGTCCGGTGCATACATATTTTTCATGTACTGTAACTGTAGTGCTGATGAGAAATTTTGTCTTCTTTTTTTACTTGACCTAAGTGTTCCTATAGTGGTAATAACTTTCACAATTACGGTTTTAAAAGTATTGAAAAGTATTGTAGTAGACCCATGACATTCTGCCACCAAAATATACCATGTCGTACAGTATGTCCTTTCTGTATATAATATGAACCAGGAACTTACCTGCTTCCCTCAAGAAAGAATTAAAAAAAAAAAAAAATCTCACATTTTAAGATAACCGTGTCAGCAAAACCAAGAGGAAACACAGAGCTGAGCTGAGCTGAGTAGTGGGAGGCAGCAGGTGGTAGGTTTGCCAGCTGAGTGGTGCACACACCAGCCGGAAACTGCAGCCTGCAGTGCACAGACTTGCATGTCTTGGACATGTGGATTGCACAAGAATTGTCAAAATCACAAATGTGAAATCTGAGACTCTCAAGGATATACTATCTTCACCTAAAAATGATTTTAGTAATGTGCATTTTTAGTATTTTCCTAATTTTTTCGTTTTAAAAAATGATGCTGCCAAACAGATTTTTTCATGTGTTACTTTTTCCTTCTCTAGTAGTACTTTTTCATACTACCCCCGCCCCGGGCTGGTATGAACCCATGGCCTTGGTGTTCACAAGGCTGTGCTCTAACCAACTGAGCTAACTGGTCAGCCCAGTCTCTAAAAGTAGACGTGAGCCTTTCATGGCACTTGATTAATTGCCAAATTGTTTTCTGGAGGTATTATATAGATTTACGTGTCCCCAGTTTTAGCCATCTAGATCTAGGGAGTTTTATTTAAAGTATTTTGGGGGAACTAATAGGTGAAATACTGATTTTAATTTTAATTTCTTTGATTATTAGTGAATTTTAACATTTAATTTTCATATATTATCATATCAAATATCAAAATTATATCATATGTTTTCATATCAAATACCTTTTATATAAGGTATTTCCTCTTGTATTATTATTCACTCATGTTTTTCTGTATTTAAATTATGGGATCACTTACCAATTTGAGTCCTTTTGAGGGTTTTGGGAAAATTAGATTTTTTAAATCTAATTACATTATTCTGATTTTTTTCTTTTAGCTCCAGTAATAAACCGATTCACAAGGCGTGCCTCGGGTAAGTCTGACTTACTTTATGGATTTTGCTTATTAATGGTGACATTTTAAAAATTACAGTAGTATTGGATTAGAAGGTACATAGAGAATAATTGCTGTAGAGTAATAATTTTTCAGTCACTTTCTTAGAAAATTCAACTACTTGATATAATCACAAACTAGGAAATAATTGAAAATTCTGTGTGAGTGGCTAAACTTAAAGTCACACTGTGCACCAAGCTGATGTACCCTTTTCGAATGGAGACTTTCACCCAGGGAGTTTATTCTTGCTCTTGATAAAATTACTACCTGCATGGTTATCTGATTTGTTATCCACAGTTTAGAAGCAGTGATTTAGCAGATAGATGAAGGATACCCTAGAAACAGTGATGCATGAGAGGTGTCTTTTTTTTTTTTTAAAATTTAAATAAGACAGTCTTTAATAAGGGACAGGAAAACTCTTAAAATGCAGATATAAGAAGTTGTCATTGTGGGACCATTTAGGATCTTTACATTTGTTAGTTCTCGAGGCTATTGCTGTTCTAAGTATACCACAGTAACCTAATGTATAGTTGTAGTGATAGATCTTTGCCATTAACAAGGGCTTAAATCAGGTTCAGTATACTGTGTACTACCTAAACTGGTAGAGAAGTAAAATGAGTTTGGACACTGAAATACATAAGCTGTTATTTGGAAAACTTGCCATGTAGAATACTTTCTTCTCTGAAGACAGAGGAAAAATCACTGTTACGATGTTTAGTTTGAGAAAATTACTCTTTCTTTTAAATATAATTGGAATTTTTGTTGTTGAAAAACACAAAATAAACAGATCACCCTTGAAGTTTATATAATACAAGTGAGTAATTTATTTTATAAAATTACCTTATTTCCACCTGTGCTATAATATTAAAGCTATCTTAAAGTCAAGTTTTATTTTTTATTTTTAATTTGTCAGCAGATACTGGTATAATTTACTCTTTTTATTTACTCTAGTGATGAGGTATGTAAGGACAGAAATTAGGAAAATGTGCCATATTAGGATGGTATCTACCATTCTGAGCTTTTTGTAATCTCAAGGCATATTTATTTTAAATGATGAAAACAAAGTGTAAATTGTAATGCATTTTGTGTATTGAGAGGTTATGTTTATGTCAGTAAGGCATCAAATTTTATCCCAAAGCAGAGCTATCAAATGTGGTCATATTCTAGTGTAGTAGTCTTTGTGAACAGTGGTGGAAGCAAGGGAGGAAGAATTAAAAAAGAATCAGTGTTGTGATGCTTCCCGATGTAAAATTTTCAATATAAACATAGTTAAGAGTCTCAGAATAAATAATCTTCCTTTCTGTCTCAAACTGTTTGTCATATGCCATTTATTTGTGGGCAAGTTACATTCGTATATGTTGTACAATATACTTATCATTAATTGATGGACCAGGGGCTCCAGTATGTCGGTTAGTTTTGAAACACCGTTTTTTACCCCCACTCTTCGTGTGTCCAATTTATCTCAGCAGGACTTGGCTAGAAATGTAGAGATGATGGAATGCCAGAAAAGAAATACAAATTAAGATCAATTGCGTTTATCCCCAGAATGACAGGCAACAGGTAATGTGAATGAAAACAGCAGCAAACAATTGGGTATAAATAAGGCGATGCCAAGTTCAGGAGTCATGCTGTATATAACAAATAGCCTTATAAAGAGTAAAATTGCTGTCCCAATAATATGATATGCTGGTAACTGTTATGAGAATGAATATTGACATTGATTATTGGAAGGAAAAGAGAACTAACCTATGGAGTACTCCTGATGGGCTGGGCACTGTGCTAAACATTTTATATACATTTTCAGTCTTTCAGACAAGGGAAATAAAATTATATTTAATACCTTAGATGAAAAGAACAGTGATATAAGGAATAGGATCTGCTTAATCATCTACACGTCTGTAGTTTGTTTTGCCTTTCTTACTTTACTTATAAAAGTTTGTTTAAAACGTTTCTGGCAAAGAAGACTATAGAAACAGTGTTAAGACATCCTGAAGAGGAAATTCTACGACTCTTTTTGTTAACTTAATTTAGCCACCATAAATGAGGTTTAGACTTCTTTTTTTAAAGTGACATTTTCTGAAAATAAAAAATAAATGATTGTTTATTCAAAATATAGATAGTTGTATTTCATAATTTAAAATATTTCTTAAAGTATCTTTTTCTGATGGAGTTTTATTTCAGAAATGCTTTCTCTTTTTAGAAATAAACTATAAAACTTTAAGAACTGTAATTTAGGGGAAGAAAATAAGTCAGGTAAAGTCAACCAGAAGTCTGTATGATATAAGAGTTTGTTTCTTATTTATCTATTTTTTAATACTTACTGTAATAAATGCTAATGTATATATTACAACAATAAATACAATATGTGTAGTGCTAGGTATTTAATCACTATGAAAAGAAAAAAATAATATGAGTTATAATATATTTCTAATCTTCTAACTGAGTTTCCTAAATCTTTCAGTTTTTGGCTTTTGATATTTATACCGAATCTATCAAAAATAAATATTTAAAACCCAAATAATTGAAACAAAATATTTCCCTCTTTTATACCTTTTTACCTTTTTCTTTTGTTATGGTTTATGAAGATGAGAGGAATGTTTATATTAAGAAAATATGTAAAAAGAAAACAAATTTTTAAAAAATTTAACAAATATGAGGTTACTTCAAAAGGTTGGTAGAAAAATAGAATTAAAAGATAATGTGAATCTTTTTATGAACAGTTTTTGAAGTACCCATGTACATTATTTAGGATAATTTACACTTATAATAACACTATTTGTGCCAAACTCTGCTGTCTTCTTCATGTGTTTTCAGTGTCTTCCCACAAACCTGTCAGTTTTTATTTCTGTAAATAAAGGAATCAGTTTCACTCAGTATTTTCAAATAGAATTCCTAGAATCTTGACTTTGTCGATGTTTCAGGGTTTTATAAGCTAGTTTTCCACTTGTACAGGAGTGAAAGGCATATAATAGAGTATGATTAATGGAAACAAGCCAGATGGGCCCAATAGATTGGGTTAAGCTCTACAAAATGTGATGAAAAACTGTCAGGTGTCTTCTGAAATCCATATATAATGTATCTTTGGCGTCTTCCTGCCAGCACTTCATAGTCTTGTTTTTAAACACCACCCCATAATTTCATTTTTTTGTTGTTGGCAGCTGGCCAGTATGCAGAATAATCACATTTTTAAACAAAATAGCTGCTTTTGTTCATTTTTAACACATTTCAGCTTTCAGTAATCACTTCTCATCAGTACATCCTTTAAAAATACAGAGAAATCATATACATAATTCATTTTAGAATATGAACTTTCTTTTTTTGAGATTATTCATTTTGGTGGAACAATGGAAATAATATACTATTTGTTGTAATTATTATTAAAAATTAGTGATAGTAATAGAAGTCGTTGCTCTGTAAATCTTTGAAAAGTAAAAATTTAGCAAGCAATCCTGTTGATTCATTGTTCATCTAGTATACTTATATGGGAGAGATAGTAGTGTTTGGAGTTAAGCAAACTTGAGTTCAAACCTTCCATTTACTCTGTTAATTTGCATGTAAGTTACTTACCTCATTGAGTTTTTCTTTTTCTTTTTTCCTTCCATTTTCTTTCAATTTGGGATTTTATCAGCTATATTCAAGCTTGTTGTGAAGCGTCAGATACCAGCAGAGTGTCTGGGCTCTCAAAAATGTTAGTGCTCAGTCCTTTTCTGAATACGGCTTAAAACAAAACAAAACAAAATAAAACAGTAAGACCCTCAGCTCTGTGCCTTAGCCTGTCAGAAAAAAAACCTTAGAGCTGTTTAATATGGTAGAAACTAGCCATATGTGGGTATCAAATACTTGAAATGTGGCTAGTCCAACTGAAGGAATGTTGTACATGTAAAGTACACACAAGATTTTGAATACTTAATAAAAGCAACAGGAAAAAAAGCCTTAGAGAGTTGTAACACTATTTGATATTAATCCTTTAAAATGGGCATTTTTTTTTATTGTTTGCACATTATAAGTTTTTAGAAAGATAGTTATTTTTCTCTGTGGTTTTATCTGTGAGTTGGGGGAAAAAAAGAGAAATGTCCACTCAGTTTTGAGACAATGCCTTACATCATGAGATCAGACCTTATTTTGAATTTTTTTAATCTCAAGATTTTATTTTGAACAAAGTCATGCTTATAGAAAAGTTTGACTAGTTCAATGAGCACCTTTATCTAGGTTCCTCAATTGTTAACATTTTGCTGCATTTGCACACTCTCTCCCCTTTTTCTTTCACTTATATGCACACATTTTTATGTTTTACTAAGTTTTTTAGGAATCCTAAATACTTCAGCATGTTATCTCCTAAAAACAAGGACATTCTTCTACTTAATATAACACTCAAGGAATTTAACCTTGATATGATACTATTATCTAATATGAGGGTACTTCAAAAAATTCATGGCAAGGGGCCGGCCCGGTGGCGCACTGCTATAGTGTGCCACTTGGGAAGCGCGGCGGCGCTCCCGCCGAGGGTTCGGATCCCACATACAGACCGGTTCCCGCTCACTGGCTGAGCGAGGCGCGGGAGCAACACCGAGGGCTGCGATCCCGTTGCCGGTCCCGGTCCGGTACGGGGGCGACACTGAGGGTTGCGATCCGATGCCGGACACGGAAAAAGACAAAAAAAAAAAAAAAATTCATGGCAAAAAAACAGAAGGAAAAGATAATATGAATCTTGCCATGAATTTTTTGAAGTACCTTTGCATAAAGTCTGGAGTCAGATTTCCTCAGTCGTCCTAATATATCCTCTCTTTCTCTTTTTTTAAATTTTAAGCTCATTCAAGGATTTTGTATTACATTTAATTGTCATGACTCAGTTTTTCTTGTCTTTCATAAATTGACTGCTGACATTTTCAAAATTTGCTTTTTCAGAGTTTCGAGGGTTGTTGCTAATGATGAAACAGTTCCCTATATCTCCTGTTGTGATTTTTAGATGGCTTGGGCATG